GAAGAATAAAAAATTCTCGGAGATTTTCACGCACAGTACGTGGAAGGCGATTGCAGAGGCCAGTACGTTCGATGCCTACAACGATGCCGTTGCCGAGCTGCGCGCAAAATATTCGAACAATGCAGAGGTGATACGGTATGTGGAGGGCACATGGTTAGTGCACCGCGAGAAGTTTGTGAAGGCTTGGACCAACCGAGTGGCACATTTTGGAAACACAACTTCCTGTAGGGTGGAGAGTGCCCACTCTGCGTTGAAGGAGTGGCTTCAGACGTCCACCGGCGCGCTCGATACGGTTTGGCAGAAGATTAATAAGCATATCGATAATCAAGTGACTGAAATCAAGTATGTATTGCAATTTTTAAATGCGTTATTATATTACTGCATTAATTAATTATAATCTAACGTTATGTAACGTATTATCAGGACGGCGCTTGAGGCCTCGAGATCTAAGAAGAATACCGATAATACTTTTCTAACAGTACCGATAATTTATGTTAAACAACAATAAATAAGTAAATTATTTACCTGATGAGGATACAGAAGGGCCAAAACGCCCCCCAGCCTGCCGTTGAGGAGCAGGCTGTGTGGGACGAACAGCATGTACCGGACGAACATGCTGTACAACCGGCTGTACCGGACGAACTGGCTGTACAGTAGGACGAGGGTGGATAGGACCCGTAGGCTGTGCGTGATCCTGATCATCTAAAGATTCGTCCGAGTCATAGTCCTTTGGACCCGGCTCCCTCTCGCCGTACGACTCATCATCAGCATACCCCTGCTGACCATAAGGTAATGGTACGCGTGCGCGGGGGGGTAACGACTTCCCTGCGAACCGGGGAAAAGCACATCCCGGCTCATCGTACGATACTGGTGCCGGGGGCATCGTCCTGCCCGCCTGGCCAGGATAATAAAATCCATGTTAGCCGTACGGGATGACTCCGTGGGGTCGCGAACTACCTGGCTGGCCCTCAAAATGATATGGACCAGTGGGTACTGGTGCGGGGGGGCGGGAACTCTGACTCGCCTGACGAAGCTGTACCCTACGAGCCTCATCGATCAACGCCTGCCTTTCCGCGTCCCTCTCCCGACGAACGGACGCATTGACACCCCGACTTCTAGTGTGTCGGGTGCCAGAACCATCATAATAATCATCGTACGCCTCGTCGTCGTCCCTGGGATTGTCCAGGTCTGCCAACACCCTGAATCAGAAATATAATTATTAGATTTTTTCAATGTAATGATTATTCTAATAACTATTAAAATAGATTATAATTCATTTTTCTTTTCATATATAAATTTTATTAATTATTATTATAATTATAATTGTTTTCTTTTCATATAATTATAATTTTT